ACTAGTATTAATATAATAGGACCTAGCTAAAGAAATATTATTAGAAGCAGACTATTTAGGATATGCTCTTAGGGGTTGCTTATTGCAAAAAGTTAGGGGCGTCTAGCGCCTAGTTACTTACTACTCTATAGCACTAATACTAGAGAGATAAAACTACACTATATATAATAAGGAATTACTAGCTATTATTAAGTGTCTTAAAAGTTAGTTAGTAGAGTTATAGAGCGTTTATAAGCTATTTATAATATTTATAGACTATAAAAACTTAGAGTACTTTACTAGCCTTTAAAGCTTAAGCAAGTAATAGTGCTACTAGGTAGAGGAACTTTTAAAATATTAGTACATCCTATAGTATAGGCCTAGCTATCTTATAGGATAACCTAATACCTTAAGTAGATAACTACAAGATTTAAACTTCTCTAAAGCAATACTATAGTTAGTAATACGCCCTAAATTAATTCAGGTTGCAGTATTAGAAGTAGAGAAGGCGTCTAAGTTACTAAAGGGCGCTAGCCTCTTCGCTAACCTATATATATAGACACTATAGGACAAAGCAGTACTAGAAGATAAGATATACTAAGTACGTCTTAATGCGGTTTAGAAAGGCGCTAGGTCTTTCCTAGTTTTAACTAATATAAAGCAATAGATTAGGGACTATACAATTAGCGCACACGGCACTTTGCTCTAGAGGGGTATTATTTAGTTGCTAATATAGGAACCCCTTATAACTACTATTATATAGCAAGCATATAAATTAGGTTTAGTAGGATATCTAGGGAAGAATATAATATTTTAAATACTACGCCATAACTATTATTAGGATAGAATATTAGGAGATATTATATAGTATATTTAAAACTGCTATTATTATAGTGCTTATATCTCCTAGAAGCACTAATAGGGTCTATTATAACCTATACTAGTTGCGTTACAATACTAGTCCTAAATATCTATAGATTTTATAGTTAACCTACCTATAAAAGATAATAGTAAACCCTAGTCCCTATTAGTTATTACTAATAGATTATCTAAATATATTTAGCTTAAAGTAACAGTCTCTATAGTAGCTAATTATTATGCAAGGATCTTCTAGGATAACTAGTAGTAGTACTAGGGCTTCCTATTCTCTATTATTACTAACTAAGGTTTAGACTAGTTAGGATCCTTCTAGATAATATTATACTAGATAATAAAGATAAACTAGTTACTGTCTACTATATACCACCCCTAGATAGACAGCAGGATAGAGTAGGCAAACTAAGAATTGCAGGTAGTGCTGCGTATAATAGTATGCTTTAAGCAGACTAACTAGCCTAATTACCTACTAGCCTGCTAACTTGCACTTAATAATAGGGACTCTAGTATAACTAGTATTAGCCTAAATCTACTTTTAAATAGGTATACTATAGACACGCTATAAAAGATAATATTACTACTAGTAAAGCCTAAGAATCCTTGTAGAGAAGCTGTAACGTTCTTATTACACCTATAGAGGGGTATAGAGCTAGCGTAAGCTACTATTATATTCTAATAGCAATAATAATAGGAAGTAATAAACTAGTCTTAACGCCTAGCTAAAAAGTTCCTAAAAGGTAATATAGTTTAGTTTGCAATACGTAATATAAAGATAAACTAACTAAGTAAAAGGTTTAACTAGCTATAGGTTAAGTATAAAGTAATAGAAGTCCCTACTCTACTTATAGTAGTGTTAGACTTACTAGGGAACTTGCATAAGACTATACATGTAGATCTACTAGAGAGAGCTACTAATAACCTGCTACTAAGCTAGAAGCTTTAGGACTTATAACTAGGCCTAATAGTTACTCTAGAAAATAAAGACGCAATACTAGATAAATAGGAAGTAGAAGAGATTCTTTATATAAAGAATATAAGAGAAAAAGGAAAGTGTTAAGTCCTAGTAAAATAGAAGGGGTATATTAATCTAATATAGCACCTACTAGAGGTAGTACAGGATACTAAGGCTGTAGATAGGTTTAAGGAAAAGTATAGGGATATTACGTATAATAATAGCCTAATATATATAAAAGCTAGGAAGTAAGGGTAGAAGAAAACTAGAATAATAACTTAGACCTTTATTATAATTAAGAAGTAGAAAGGTATTAGAGATATCTTTTATTTATCCTTATAATACTCTAAGCAAGTGCCCTACTACTAAAGTTTTATAAGGTAGCTAATAATTAGGTAGTAGTATCTATACTATTACTATCTATAACTAACCCTCCCCTAGCTCCCCCTAAACTATTATTTATATTATTCTAACACCTCTATATCTCTTAGTAATAGTAGTAACACTTGCGTATATTATAGGTAGGGGAGGACTTAGTTAATAAGTATAAGTAATAGTAGTAGTAGTAGGAGGAGGAGGGTAGTACTTTAATAGTTTACTAATATATAGCACCCTAGGCCTAAAGAAAGTAAATATTAGAATATATATAAAGGGAATAAAGGAAAATTAATACTAATAATAAGAGTCTTAATACTATAGGTAGTGCGCTTAGTAGCGCTCTTAAGCTTATTAATATAAAGGTTAGTTTAGGCCTAGGTCTTATTTATACGCTAGTTAATACGCTAGAAGGTAACACTAGTAGTAGTAGTAAGCTATATAACGTTATTATTACTATAACTACTATATAAAGGCGTAATAGTAGACTAAAGTAGAAATACTAGAGTACTAGTAGTAGATAGAATAATAGCACTAAGCTAATACTAATTATAGGCGCGTAAGTAGGTAGTAGAGGTAAGTATTATAATAGTATTATTAGTTTAAGCCCTTAATATAAAATCCTTAAAATAATAGTAAAGCTAGTAGAACTATAGTATAAACTAGTAATAGGTGCCTTTAGTAGGTTTCCCTATAAAGGTGCTAAGGGTCCCCTTCTTTATAATATAGAGGCAATCCTCCTAGTAACTATAATAAAACTAAAGCTAGTTATAGAGGGCTGTAGCAACATATTAGGATTATTAGTAAGGATAGCTTCTAATTAAGTGCAGGTCTTATAGCTATAATAGCAGGACTTATATAAGCGCCCTAGATATAGTTAGAACTTGCTATAAAGAAAATAAAAATTAAGGGGAACTTACTACTACCTTCCTAATAGTTATACTTACTAAAGAGATAAAGCTAGTTAATATACTAATTATAGGGAAGTAGCTTTATAAAGCTACTATTATATTCCTTATTATCTAAGTTACTAGAAATAATAAAGCTACTAAGCAACTATATTTAGGGAGATGTGTGCTAAGTAAAAAGTTAGTGCAGGAAATATAGGGAGAATATTAGAAGTACGCACCTTATCTTAGTAGGCCTAGTGTAGGGTCTAACTACCTTGCAGTAGATCCCTACTACTAGCACTAGTAGTAGTAGATAAGGATATAATAGGGGCTAGATAGGCAGGATTAATAGAGAAAGAGTAGAGAGAGGGCTAATTAGTAGGGAAAATCTATTGTGTAACAAAGTAAGTTTAAGAAATTTATAGTAGGGTAAGATAGCTATATTAGAACTTTTATAGTAGGGTGCTAAAATAAATATATAGACACTATACATGTATACTACTTAATATACAGGCCTGTTATAAATTAGGACGGAATATAAAGATATAATAACAAAACTAAAAAATATAGTAATAAAGCCTAATATAGATTATAGAGGACAAAGATATAACCCTAGACCCCTAGAAAGATAATTTTACAATAGTTTATAGGGGAAGGTTAGGGGTATATAAAGGGCTTAGGCTTATACCTAAGCCTAGGTCTAACATAAGATAGACTAAGTCTAACACTACTACTAAGCAAACACACTAGACACCTATAAAAAGGCGTGGAGGGCTTACCTCTCCTTTAAGATACTAAATACTATTATTAACGCTTATTGCATTCTCCCTTAAGGCTAGTCTATAACAATAAGCTTACTATATTATGCTACCCCTTTACTACTATATATAATATAGTATATATAATAATATATATATATACCTAACTTTAAACTAATATACTACTACAAAAACCTATAATATATATAGTATAAGTAACTAACTTGCCCTAGAATATTTATAATATAGAGTATAATCTTTAGTAATACTACTATACTATAACATAGGAGTGTTGTCGCAATAGGCGCCTTTATAGAACTTACTAACCTATTATTATAGGATATTTTAGATTATAATTTTATATACTAGGTATACTACCTAGTCTCTTAGTTATTATTATAGCGTACCTAGGTAGTAGTATGCTACACGCCTATACTACCTAGGTATCTACTAGTACTAGTTCCTATATAGTACCCCTACTAAATTATACCTACTACGTGCCCTCTATTTACACTAAATTTTCCCCCTAGGTGCTATATATCTATCTACTATATAACCTATAATTAGGTATAATATATAAACTATATTTAAATAGACACTAAAGTTAATATATATAATACTAATAATATATAAACTAAAAAGTTGTTTACCTTTATAGAATATATAGTATAGTAAACCCTATTTAGGTTTACTTCTTGTACTTAAACTACTTTGAGGTCTACTTTAGATAAATATGGCTACTGTAAACCGGTTTTGTACCATAGTGCTGGGATTAGGGACATTCTATACCAAGGGTGAATGATGTGAGTAGGAATTTCACTGAAGCACAAGCCTTGGCGATCGACGTGAACATATACCCGGATTCATGCGTTGGTACAGATTGTGCCGTGCCTAAATTAAGTTTGTAGGAAAAGATTCTGTGATTTGGATGGCTTTCATTATGACGGAAGCGGGGGGCACATGATTACCCCAGGATCGTTGTGTACCATACTAGGTATGCAGAAGAGATGCATTCACGCTTTGTCCTGTTCTGTCAAAGCTCATGATTCAAGTTCAATAGTCGTTGATCAAGTCGGTACCCGGAATTTACCGGTAGAGCACCGACTCGGAGTCAGCAGGGATTATCATTCTGGCAATCAATGCCTGACATGGATCTACTTTGGTATCATATTAATAGATGAGGGATTTCCTTTTAGCTATTGCAGTGTTAGGCATAAATCGATATAAAACGTTTGGTTCTGCAGGGAATTTAGGTAATATCAGTGCGTTTCTGTAGCGCTACCGGGGTACCGTTACCAGATTACCATACCTTCATGAGCTTTGTCCCTCCGTCCTGGTAAGATCAGCAAATACCATATTGAAGCGCGCAGGTATTGTGCGAATGGACGACATTTACGTGGGCTCTGTCGATTGCAGGCTTGCTAACTACCATATAGTGGTTACTGTTTCCTCAGAAATCGCGCAAAAGCCAAGTCGATGTAGGGGCTTGGAACAACAATAGCGGACCTGCTATTTGATATTTCAATCAATTCTGTGATTCGGCTAGAGGAACATTGGAAAAACACAAGACCATTGATGTGCATAGAGAGTAGTGATCTACACGGCGCCTTAAGTCTACCCTATGGTACCTTTTGTAACTACTTTAAATCTACTATATTTTCAAATGGCTTTTGAGTCGTAACACACTTAGACTTAAGATAATTCCCCGTAATGTCACTCCTGCCAACTACAAACGATTCGCTCACATAGATGAACTGTGCAACTAGTGATATTTCTAAATTCTCAATATTCTCATAAAGCCTGGTACCTACCAAGGGATGGTCAAGCGTTTCTATTACAAGTATAGAAGTGGAACCAGAATGATATAAAAGGCTAGTACATTGTTGATTTGATGAAATAGCCAGCTAATTGGCTGGTTGCTAGCAGTATATTTATCTGCTAATCGGATTCCCATCCTGGTCGGTGCGCCGGTAGTTACTGAAGCATCCAGGTGTGAAGGGCCGCTTCGTGTTCTCCTTAACCCCACATGTCCTATACTCACCTTTAGGCGTGAAGCAAGCTGCAGACGGGTTGGTCTCCGGGGCCCCGGCGGCTTGGCACAATCTCGTAGCTTGCGATACAGTAATCCACCCGTCACCATGCACGTTACCGGAGTGGAAACTCGCACCAATATCGTGGAACTTCGACCATTAGGAATATTTATCAGTATAGTAATCAAGGATATCTTACATACATCCCTTCTAAAGGGGCTCTCTCTTTCCCGGTCCACACTTTAGTGCCTAGTACCATATAATTAGTTACTGCGGTCGTCCAGGCAGTGGTACGGTACTTACTGATCACATATTTTCCCCCACTACTGTCCGTGATGTCCAAGGATCTGCTTTCTGCGATTTTCTTATTTTCTGTACAGGTGCAGAGGCGATAGTTAGTATCAGCATGAACGGATGTTGCCCTGCAGGTGTCAGGAAATTCTAACTCAGGGAAGATTGAACGTTGTGATGAGTAGAATTTAGGTAACGTACAATGCGCCGAGAAGAATAGCGACGCGCATGATGAGCTTTGTTGTGTATCGAGAGGACCGGATTTCTGTCAAAACAAATGGCAGTTGTAAGTAAAAGATAAAAAATTCTGCTATGAGGATTATTCAAACCCTTTATCTCTCTGTTCACTGATCTATAGGAATGAGGCTATGCATAGGGCCGAGTCGAGCGGGGCTGACTGTGTTATTGAGGACCTTTCCACGTAGGTTTACCGGTACCGGTACATCCTGGCTAGTCTTTCTCTTATGTTGGGGTTGACTGGCCTAATACTATACTTGTATAGGTACCATAGACATCTCTTGGACTATTAACACAATGATGGGTCATGGGTCGATGGGTCGGCTTGAATACGGACGCTACCGGTACTCTCACAAGTCTGCTCCATTTCCAATGGTATGTGTTACAGGTGCTCCAGAACCACGATTTGAACCGTAGGTCGAGTGAATTCCCACTGCGTTAAACAACCGAACTAGGGCCGCATAATCCATCTTCATTGATCATAGGCAAGTATAAACGCTCAGATACTCACACCGATTGGTTTAGGGGGAAATGCAGAATGCTTTAGCCTTTAGAGCGGGCCGATGCAGCTGCACAGCTTGCATGATCGCTAGGCTACCCCTATAAAGAAGGCCGTAAGTGACACGACCTATAATCATCGATGGAAGGACATAGAACGAAACTCTTCCGCGTGGGGATAAACAATAGTACATGTCAGCACTATGGTAAATCAACAGCAGCATCTTTCGTACCCTGATGTGATAGCAAAACAATAAGAGTGCTGCTATATAGGTACTCTGCACGCTAGGTCCATGTTATAGTCGTCGGGGCCATTCGTTCGAATCGGACTCTTGCATGGAATAATTCTTGTGCATCAGATCATACCGTATAGGGTGTCACTAAGATGGATTAGAAGACAGACTAGAAGCTTTACCTAGTTTCAGAAGAGTTGGATGAGTAAGCGCTAGGCCAGGTCCTGTTAGTATTAGGTCAGAGATTTTTCTTGATATATAGTACGGAGGTGGCTTTTAAAAGTTCTTGCTAGCGTATTTATTAGCGGCTAATCTATTAGCCTAACTTTCTTAGCCTACATACACTTAATTTTTGCCTACTATACCTAATAACTAGTATATAAGAGAGAGGGAGTAGAGAAGTGTTATAGGAGGGATATTAACTGGATCACGGAGCATCTTGATCCCGATCAATCCCGATCAATCCTGGTCAATACCCCTGTATAACCCACTATCTAATCAACTGCTAGCTTACTACTAAGTGCCTAATAAAAAGCAGGAGCTCTAGTAAGGAAGGTTTACTAATTATTTACCTTCTAGTAAGGGTAGCTAAAGCTCTATATATATAAGTCCGATCGTAGTAGATACAATCTAATAATCTATCTCCTAAATTATTCCTAACCTTAGTAATCTAAATTTCTATAGTTATAAGCCTAGTTTGCGCTTTACCTTATTAAAAGATCGTCCTATCTATTTAAGCGTATTGTTTAACTTAGATACTAAGCTAGCAAAGCTTTACTCTTTCTTTATACTATTTCTTAAGCAAAAAGCTTACTTATTACTCTTCTACTATAAGCAACTAAATCCTAAAGGGGGATATCCTACTTACTAGATTAACTAACTAGCCTACCTAGTACATTTAATTTAGATACTATGCCCTAACTAAAGGGATCTAGGTAGAGGTAGACCCTAAGGCTCTAGATACTAAAAACCACTTTAAGAATAAACCTATTAAGCCTAACATGCTAATAGATATTGCGCTATCTAACACAATAAGCAAGCAGTACAAACTCTAAATAGTATAGTACTAAGCTTGCTTATTAGATTAGGTATTAAAGTTATTAGCAATCTAGAACCTCTTTACATAGGTTAATAATATAGTAGATTAAGGGATCCTTACCCTAGCCTATATAGAGCTTATTAATTAAGAAAGAGTAACCCTCTAAGCACTTATCTAAGTGCTCCGTAATAACCTAGCGCTAACTAACTTAAGCGCTGCAACACTAGTAAGATTATAGTACAAAGCTTATCTTACTAAGGCAAAGATAAGTAGCTAAGACGCTAATCGCTAGCAGAAGGAGTAGACAATCCTATATACGTAAGCTAAGGTATATAACGTACCTAATGTTAAAGGATAGCTTATAGTATAGGATTATCTTAAAGCTCTATCTACTAGGATCTTACTAGATTAGGGTTAAAACATGTTTTAAAGGATTATTAAAAAGTTAGTAATAGGAGAGCTAACTTATAACCTCCTATAGGTTACTAAGATCTATTTAATACTTCTTTAAGAGAACAATATAAGATTAAGCTCTAAGGGTCCTAGAGTGTTTGTAATAATAGGAGCTCCACCTTCTAATTAACTAAAGAAGGAGTCTTTATGCCTATACAGTAGATCTTACCTATAGAAACCTCCTAAATACAAAAACATTATTAAAGCTTAGACTAATATAGGTAACAAGCTTACTACTACTTAATAATTAGAGATTAAGAAAAAGATTAATAGGAACCTAAAATTTAAAGAGTTAAGAAAAGCTCTAATTAAGTCCTATCCTATTAATTAAGATTATAGTAGTAAGGTAAGCGCGATCACCTATCTAGGTAGTATCTAGGCGGCACTAATTAACCCTATATTAATAGCGGAGAAAACAAACAGGATCTATTTAACTATAGACTTTGAAGCTTACGCTCTATTAAAGAGTACTATCTTTAACAACAGGGGTGCAGTGCACCTAGTTAATAATATAAGCTACCTAGAAGAAAGCTTATTTAGATTAGTTAAATATAAGACGGTTAAAGCAGGAACTTAAGCTTTTCTAATCTTAGGCAGAGGGACAAGAGTAATCCCTAATGCTCTTAATGGACCTAGAGGTCTAAAAACAGAAGATTTAGTGCTTACTAATGTAGTGTTAGTAGAAGGTTTTTATATAAATATTATATTAGAAGCTTAATTGCTTAAAGCAGGAGTTTGGTTCCTTAGGCTAGATGCTACCTTGTAGTTTAGATTATTAGAAAAGAGCGTTGTATTAGCTAAGTTACTGCGCAAGTTTAACTTAACTTTCCTAGAATATAAGCCCTCTACTCCTTATCTAATAATCTAAAGCATAGTGCCTAAACAACCCTAGCAATCCTAGACAACTTACCTAAGACAACGATACCGTAAGGAGCTTTAGCACTAACAATTAGGCTATTTAGGACCTAAGGCGCTTAAAGCTCTAGTTAAGTTAGTAATAAACGTTAGGATTAAAGGAACTCCTAGGAGCAAATGTGAGCACTACGCTATTACACATGCCTAACAGGTTATATTAAGATAACTAAGGGAAAGATTACTACGTCTATACTACTAGGTATTATAGGATCTATTTAACATGCTAACAGGTATAGCTTACAAGTAATAGATCTTAGTATTAAAGTGCGACTACTTAGGAAAGCTTTATACCTATCTACTGCAAGCTAAAAACCTTAATAAGATTATATAGGTGTTTAAAAATTTTAAGAGCTTAATACTTAACTAATATAAGCTTAGTATAGTTAAGATTATATAAGATAATAATGTTATAACGCTCCCTTAGCGCGGCAAATCTCGCTTTTAGATCTAGGTAGCTAATAATAGTATCAAGATTAAGAGCTTACCTATATATACCTATAAACCTAATAGAGGAGTAGAAAGAGTAGGGCAGGAGATTATAACAAAATTAATTAAAATAAGGATTAGTGCTAACCTACTAACAAAGCTCTAGCCTAAAATTATTAAAGTAGCGACTTAGCTCTATAATATAAGCCTGTCCTATACTTACAATATAATATTACCTAACAAAGTGCTAGATTGTTAGTTTACTAGATACTTTAGGTGGTGGCAACTAGAGCAGATAAGGGAGGCAACTACTAATCTCTACCCTAATTAGAGCGGAATATACGCCTATGGCTATTAAGCTTACCCCCTTAACTAAGATTAAGTAGCTAGGCGTTATAAGAGGGTTTTTAAGGTGAACCCTTAGGGTTATATTAGATATCTAGTAGGATATAGAGCATCTAATATATACAGGATATAGATCCTCTTACTTAATTAGATTATTATAACGTGGAATATTACCTTTAATAAGGATCTTTTCTATAAAGAGAAAGATCTAGAGCAGCTTTAATAGTTAGAGGCTTAAAAGATAGTTAACATTATTAGCAAAGATAAGATCTATAATACAGGAGAAGTATATAAAGAGCTTAATATCTTTAATTAGCTTTATATTGCGGTAGAGCAATATAAAGAGTCTAGTAAGCAAGGAGGACTAAACCTAGCGCAGGAGCTAGGGGGTAGGGTAGAGCTAGAGGAGGTAGATAATTAGGCTAGCTAGCCTAGTGATTCATAACCCCCTAAGCAGACACCTCTAGCGTAGGTACTAAGCATAGCTAGCTTAGCACAAAGGATCTATATAAAGTCCCCTAAGTTAATAGGGCTCTAAACTCCTAAACTAACACTAAAACTAAACTTTAGTATAGGAGATAAAGGATCTATATAGGTTATAGATTAGGGTCTTACTACCTAAGATAGTAGTAATCTAACTTACTTTAACACCATAATAGGTAGCTCCTAGGAAAGACCTAGAGGGGAGAGTGCTATTAGTGGGTTACTCTATAAGAGCACGGAGATAGGTAAGGGCACCCTATCTAGCCCTTATAGGGGTGGTGAGCAGAGCTTCTACTTACCCGCTTTAGGACTAGATTCTGTATCTCCTACAGATCCCTCACAAGCGGCACCTAGAGCTCCTAGAAAAAGTAGAAAACTACAAGTTAAAGGACTGCCACTAACGCGTGTTAGTAAGCAAGCTTAGGGACAGGACCCTAATAAACTACTAGGAGGCTCTATAAGTGCGGGGATATATATAGTAATAGATCTATTAGATATAGATCTAATTAGAAATCCCTTACATAATCTTTTAGTACATCCTAAACTAAACGCTATAATCCACGCTATAATCGCAGCAGTAATAGGGAGCAAACCCCCTAAA